GATGTACGAAAGATTTTCTACAAATGATTTTCATCGATTTCGTTCGTAGGACAGATATTGCATTTTTTGGTAGGCCAGTTTTAAAAATCTTTTCTGATTTGCTTTTGCATAAGAGTTCCATTTTGTTTTCATTTCAGTTTGCATCAGTAATTATTGAGCAATACACGAATAGACAAACCAGGTTAGGATTGGGCATATAATCTTGATCACAATATTTTTGATAAAGTTTCAAAGGAAGTGTTCAACATTTTACAGTACTTTTCAGCTGCCAAAGTACCATGTTCGTTTTAGCATCGTATATAGTAACATAAGTATATGCGATGCAGGTTTCTTTGAGCCTCTAAACCTTGTGATGAAGATGAGTTCACTTAATTGTATTTTAATTTTTATCAAACGAGTGATACGAGTCTAAAACTGATACGTTTAATGAACTAATACCTCGCGCCCTATCAGATATTTGCCTGTTCAGCAGCTACCATTAAGATTTTTCTGTTGGTTGGCAAAATACTATCTGAATATTTGATAAGTTTGTGCGCATAATTATTTCTTGGACTGAGGGAATGTTTGAGTATTTCTGAACTTCTAGTTTTCAACGTCATGTTCAACAATAATTGACGGAATCCCGCTTACGAAAACAATGGAAATTTTGACTTTTAGTTTGAATGTGGACAATGCCAATATTCATCGAGAAGAAACAATATCTCTAAATTATATTAAACAAGACATTCAACTTGTTATTAAATTGAGAATGGAAATGGGGAATGTGTGAAAGAGACAACAACCCGACCATAGAGCAGACAACAGCCGAAGTCCACCAATGGGTCTTCAATGCAGCGAGAAACTCCCGCACCCGGAGGCGTCCTTCAGCTGGCCCCTAAACAAATATGTATACTAGTTCAGTGATAATGGACGTCATACTAAACTCCAAATTATACACAAGGAACTAAAATTAAAAATGATACAAGACTAACAAAGGCCAGAGGCCCTGACTTGGGACAGGCGCAAAAATGCGGCGGGGTTAAACATGTTTTTTTAGATCTCAACCCTCCCCTAAACCTCTATCCAATGTAGAAAAAACAAACGCACAACAGTAAGCACAGTAAAACTCAGTTTAAGAGAATTCCGAGTCCAATGTCAGGAAAGGAAACAAAAGAAAATAAACAAAATAACAATAATACATAAATAACAACAGACTACTAGCAGTTACTGACATGCCAGCTCCAGACCTCAATTAAACTGATTGAAAGATTATGTCTTCATCATATGAATATCAGGCACAATCCCTCCTGTTAGGGGTTTAGTATTATACCATCATAAAATATATGAGAAGAACATAACCCGTGTCATGCCAACAACTGGTTTTAGAATAAATATGTTTAATTCCGATGCAAAGACCCTATAAGTGAATCAATATTAAAGCCAAAATATGCAATCTTTAATGACCTGACAACAGTATCGTAACTATATCCCTTCTTAATAAGTCTGTTTAAAGGTTTTGTTAGCTTTTAAGGTGAATACTGACATTTTTGTGCTTTGTAAAGAATATTACCATAAAAGATTGGATGTGAAATACCCGAACGTATAAGATGTCTGCATGTTGAGTTATATTTACGAATGATGTCCTTATACCGATGATAAAATTTAGTAAATGTTTTGAATAGTTTATGATATCGAAAACCCTGGTGTAATAATTTTTCAGTAATACATAAATTTCTCTCGCTAAAATCTAATACGTTGTTACATACACGAGCAAATCGTACAAGTTGAGATATATAAACACCATAAGATGGTGACAAGGGAACGTCACCATCTAAAAATGGATAATTAACGATAGGAAATGAAAAATCATCTCTTTCTTCATAAATTTTTGTATTAAGCTTCCCGTTAATGATATAGATATCAAGATCGAGGAAAGGACAGTGGTCATTGTTAGTATTAGCTTTATTTAAAGTAAGTTCAACTGGATAAATTTCTTTAGTATACATACTGAAGTCGTCATTATTGAGTGGCAATGTATCATCCAAATATCTAAAAGTATTGCTAAATTTTTGTATCAGATGTTGTTTCGATGGGTCTTTGCTGATTTTAGTCATAAATTGTAACTCATAACAATACAAAAACAGGTCCGCAATAAGTGGTGCACAGTTAGTCCCCATTGGAATTCCGATGACTTGACGATATACGGAATCTCCAAAGCGAACAAAAAAGTTATCAAGTAAAAATTCAAGGGCAGATATAGTATCAAAGCATGTCCAATTGACATAGTTTTTTTTTTTTTGTTGATACTGAAAAATGACCTAAAAGAGTTTGAACATATATATTCGCATTCCGACTTTTTAAATGCCCATTTAATTCGGTGTGTGAATTTTTTCTTAATAAGAATATGAGGCAAAGTGGTATATAGGGTAGAAAAATCAAAATTTTGAACAGATTCAAAATCACCAATATATGCATGCAATTTATCAAGTACTTCCAACGAGTTTTTGACACTCCAAAAGTAGTTAATTCCCCTATTGTCAAAGGCCTTATTAGAACAATTTATTATCAGGTTTTTGATTGTTCCAAGTTGAAAGTCTTGTATAGTGACATATAAACGAACAACCATGTCGGTCCCTATAAATACTCTTCAACTTTGTATTTGAAATGGCCTTCAAACTGTTTTGATTAGAACGCCATTGATGAGTCTTATGTAGACGAAACGGCCATCTAGCTTACCCAATAATAAACCTCGTATCTTGGATGAGTTTTTCACCTCACAAATGACTCTCCTGTTCGATTTATTACATTTTGATTGCATGAAGGTCCAAACACATTTAGGATCTAACTTTCATATGTATTTCTTTAACCCGAGAAATCAATGTAGGATAACAAAACTTGCAGCTAGTTTGGCTCCCAGCCCCACCCACTAACTATGTGAATTTAGTTTTTAATCCTACACCGATCTTTTGATGTCGTTCCTTATATACTACAAAATATCGTTCACAAAGGTTATAAAACTATAAATACACAGCCTATCAAATGTTCATTCCTTTAACTCAGTCATGAGAATCAGAATGAATCCATGACAGGTGTTACATTATAATTCAGTGTTTACCATTTAGTTATTAGGTGCATTGATATTCATATTGTTTGATATGCATGATATTTAATAAACTTGATTCATGTATATATCAGGTTTTATTGTTTATCAGACTAGAAAATAATACATTCATTATATACAGGGATAAAATTTTTCCTTTGAATGGTGTGTATTTTGTTTCTACTTTGCCTGGCAAGGCTGTACGGTCCCAGAATAAATATATCAGTGTTCGAAATAAATAAGAAAACAAGTATTAAGACGAGAAATAAATGATACTCTGACAAAAAAAACCCACTACACTAAGTGAACATTTTTCTGTCGTTGGGTTGTTGTCTCATTTACTCTGCATTTTTTTTTAAATAGAAACAGTGCATGGCAACAAAATATTGGATAGTGAAATATGAATTAAATTTTTTTTATTGATAATAATGGCCAAAATTGAACGAAATGAGATAAAAGTCAATAAATAATCAACTGATATATCATGTAAGGAGGGGTATTTGCAAAAAAACGGCGAAGGTCGTTTTAGCGCATTGATAGGACATTTTAGCGAAAAAATGGGTTGTGTTTAGCGCTGAAGAATATAAAAATAAGAAGGTGTGGTATTAGTGCCAATGAGACAACTCTCAATCCAAGTCAAAATTTATAAAAGTAAACCATTATAGGTCAAAGTACGGTCTTCAACGCGGAGCCTTGGATCACACCGCACAGCAAGCTATAAAGGCCCCCAAAAATTACTAGTGTAAAACCATTTAAACGGGAAAACCAACGGTCTAATTTATATAAAAACGAGAAACGAGAAACACTTATGAACCAAATCAACAAACGACAACTACTGAACATCAGATTCCTGACTTAGGACAGGTGCAAACAATTGCAGCGGGTTTAAACGTTTTAATGGTACCAAACATTCACCCTTATCTGAAACAATAGTGTAACATCACAACATAGAAAGACACACTATAAAATATCAATTGAAATGGCTTAACTCAATCAAAAGACATATTAACACAGGTGAACATACACCGAACGAATAAATTTGATCTATGATACAATGTAAATACAAAATCAATAAAATAAGTGATGAATAATTAAAGTAACAGCATTATACCGCTGTGAAATGTTAAACAATTTCAGAAAAGCAACAATAACCTTAAACAAAAATCCGCCATTTACAATAATATTATACACAGGTAAATGAAAATAATTTTGTTGTAAGTTAAACAGTTTAAAAGGGAGAAAGGAAATATTTTTACAAAATAAATAAATTATAACCCATTTTAGCACTTTTGATATACCTCTTGTACAATAATGTTCATATAAATGCGATAAAAAAACTTTTCGTTCTCTTTATCTTGTTTAGGTTGATGTGCAGATTCATCGATACTTCTAATTTTAACACATGTTGTTGTTTGTAATTTGAGGATAGTAGTAAAAAAAAACACCATCACATATTGTACTTTAATTTTTCCGTTTGTTTCAACCACATTTATCTCCATGTTTAACTAAATTGTAAATGCAAACAACTTAAACATTAAACCAGCACGGTTTGAGTATGGTGCGTATTATTCAACTAAATTTTCGCTAAAATGGGCTGTCGAAAATACAGCTGTACGATTATCGGCGCTAAAATGTCGCCTAGCAGTTTTAAATTTTTCGCTACAATGTCCTGCGCCCGCGAAAAATGTCAGTCGAGAGAAGCTAAAAATTTCTCATTTTTGTTATTATTTTTTTTAACTTATTCATGGGAGTAATAAGATATTCTCGAATTCTCAGGTTGGGCTATTGTATTCAATAATATAACATTTTACATGTTTGAATGGATGAAGGAGTACTTAAGTGTTTATATTGTAAGTAAAAATATGAAGAAAGGAGACAGTATTTGTACTTCCCTATACAGGTAACAATTTCTTACCTGATTTAAGAATATAACTTTACGTATTTAACTGTAATACAACTTTGTACATCACTTAGTGGAGAATAAAATCTTTCATATTATTTTGGATTTAAAAAAAAAAAGTTGATGTTCTATCGCTTTATAGGAATACAATATAGTCACAAGAACGCCACTGTATTATTAATAGTGTTCTTGTCTAAAAGAAAATCAGGTGAAAATAAAAGAAATACACGAAAGGTAAGACTATTATGAACATTACACATATGACAAATCGTAATTATATTTACACAAAACAACTATAACTATCAGTATGTTGACAGAAAGTTGAAAGACGGTTAATTTCATCTATGCGTTTGAAGGTTTAGTACCAAATGATCATGTTCGAAAATGCAATGTTTCAAATACTGAAAGGGGCATTAGCTACGAGTTAGACAAAAATGTAAATCACGATCCTTTTTATTTCAAGTACTAATAAAAGCGGAATTTAGAAATAATATTTTGTTAAAAACAGTTAATTTCGCCCAAATTTGTCAAAATAAGCTTAAAACATCGCTGTTGTGTAATTCACTTGCAAGTGAATAATTCGATCTCATGTGAATCCGTATTCATGTGAAATTCAGTATAACCCCTTAGCTGGAGATGAGTTACGCTTGTAAAATGCGTGCTCAGTTATTAAAAGGAAAAAGAATGAAAGTGAAACAAGGATGAACCATTTCATTGACTGATTCGATCCACAAAAAAATCATTCTTATACAGGTAAAAACGTAGATTAACATATTATTTTAACCTATGACATGAAATCAAACAGACCTAGAAAAATCCAATTGCACGTGGTCACTATCTATCTATATTTATATTTACGTTTATATCAGTTTATATCGGCTTATATGACCGTCGACAGTCTTCGGAGGTCATCTCGATGTTTAATTAGACGGTGTCTAGACTAAAATACACACGAAATGTTTGTATATATATTATCGCGTAAATGCATTGTTAATAGTTGATTTCAGACTTTTTGTAATTTGGATGTACGTTTTAGTATGTTATACATCAAATATGAAAATTGAAGTCAAATATATTATCGCGTAAATGCATTGTTAATAGTTTATTTCAGACTTTTTGTAATTTGGATGTACGTTTTAGTATTTTATACATCAAATATGAAAATTGGAGTCAAATCGGTGAACACGAATTTGACTGCTAATGCCCCTTTAAATTGAAAGTAATGGAATCCCGTTTTTTATGTTTATTTTTTTTCTATTCGAGTTGTTATATCAAAGGATTTAAAAGAGGCAATTGACACCCTACTTCTGGCAATCATTACGGCAGATACATATGATCTGTATTCCCGATTGCCGTTCAAAAAAATATTTACAATTGCTTTTGCTATTGTGTACGGCAGTTTGTCGTCCCGATTGCCATTGCAATACGATGACGGATTTTGCGATCATGTTCTGTGTTATCTGTTACATCAACAATACCGATAACCGGTAATTGGATTACAATTTGCTATAATAGAGTATTGTACAAAACCAAACCAGAAATGTTATTATAGTTAAAGTCATGTGATCCTTCAAATTTAACACACAAGATCAGTATGTTTAAAATACTTGAATTGCAAAGTTTTACTATAAAACACGTGTTTTCTTTTAAAATAATCCTGTATTATATCCAAATATACAGAAATGTACTACTATTGCATTATTGTCTTCCCGTAGTTTAAATCGCCGACACCTTTTTCGAACGCAGTGAACTTAACCACGATCTTGTTACAATTTCGACAATCGTACAGCTGAAATGCGAAGGGAAAAACCGTTTAGAAGGAAGACAGTTTTAACTGAGTCTGAAAGAAAAAAAAATCAAAATCATTTAACAATTGTTATAACAAAGTTTAATTACTAAATTTGAACGAAGAAAAAAAAATATGTATTTAAAAAACAAGTAAACATCGCTCTATCATCTTACTTATTATAAACTTGCTCCATGATTCTGTGTTGATTGTTTATCAAGGTCACGATAGGTAAACTTCGGCATGAAAACCCGAAAGTAAATTAGCAGCCAAAGTTTTCGACCAACAATCATCGAATATTTCTTTTTGCCGATACTACGTTATGGACTCATAATAAATGTTTAAACCCGTGCACAGATAACGCTCGACTCCAATCTTAATTGACTAGGATTGTCCATTTTCCTACCTAAGGTCGGTAGTTTTCTTCGGGTACTCCGGCATTCTCTACCAATAAAAACTGACCGCCACGAAATGGCACAATAGTGCTGAAAGTGGCATTAAACACCAACAATCAATCAAATAATTCAAACGGACTAACGATGCTTTCATCGATTTCAGTCTATAGTTAGTACAAAGAATGTCAGGTGAACAATCAACTTTATATAAGTACGTGGAATCCCCTGTGTCCGCGCGGTCGGTGATATCGCGCATTACCTGATTTCATCATATCCACAATGTAACACAAATAGAATCGTTCTAGTAATTGTTTTAGTCTTCCGAAGGGACAGAAATGATTAAAATTGATAAGTTCAAACATAAATTTATAATTGCAATCCCATGATTAGCCATATTTAGCCATTTTCTTTAAAAAAAATACATCTACAGATAAAACTGCTTTCATTTTAAGTCAAATTTTTATCAAAATGAAATAACTTTTGCTCTGCATCCTAGGCAGTCTGTTTGGTTCAGACTGAACTATATTTCATAGTATACAATTGGACACACTTTACATAAAATCTTAAGGGTGAAACCATACATAAAGAATATTTCATGAAATTAAAGTATGTCATGAATTTGTTCACACAATATTATCCGATTATTAGTTTTATGAGATCACCAAAGTGAAGCCAAAAGTCTTAGGCGCGCGGATACACCGGACTGCACTGTAGGTATGTATACCGAAGCATCCTGTTGTTACCTATTCTATGACTTCGATGGCCAAAGAATGATAATATGTGTTCTCTTTCAATAGCAATAATTATTAACAAAGCTGTTAATATGTCTAGTGATTGCAGCAAGTAAAATTCATTGAACTATAGGTAGTAAAAGACTGTTTACAAGTATTACTACATCACTATTTATGATACATAAAATTGTTATGTAATCTATATTTGATTCATTTCAACTGCCTTCCAGTTATTGTACTTTATGTAAATGACTACCTTAAAGTAAGTCGCCACTGCGTCATCATGTCTTTTAATGGCGGAGTGGAATCTGCTAAACTCTAGATATTTTATTTTTTTTCCAGCAATCCTTGACAAAGACCTTTTAAGTCGAAATGTTGAGCCTCGTTTTCTGTCATTTGACTTTTATTGTTTTATGTTTTTACGTTAAGGTGTTTTACCTTTCGTGTTAAGACAGGTTGTACTTCTGATCATTTCCAATTGTTTTTGTAACGTTTAAAGCATGTGTTAGCAATGGATATACAGTATTTCACCCCTGAGGGGTAAAATCTATCGTTGTTGACAGTAATATTGCTCCAGTATCTAAATGGACAGGACACACATTTAAGTAGCATTGTCAAAATGCTTGTGCGGGATTCGTTTATGTTCTATTTGTTTCAGAATACTAAGTAAATAATCATTCCGTTTAAAACTTTTGAAAATAATATATCTCCCGTTCTATATTACTACCTTCAAGTAAAAGCTAGGTAAAAAAAAACGATGTTAAGGTTGGTCATATGACAATACTATGTCCCATATTAACGGTATCAATTTCACTACACCCGATACGCAGCTTGAGACCAAACAAATTGAAAGACCAAATCCTTTAAAAATATTGAGAATCTGATAAAAGCAAAAAGTACCAAAACTAAACCAAAACTCCAACAAGTAATCAGAGCTCTGCATGAGGAAGCCAAACTCAAACATGGATTCAGAGCTCTGCATGAGGAAGCCAAACTCAAACATGGAATCAGAGCTCTGCATGAGGAAGCCAAACTCAAACATGGAATCAGAGCTCTGCATGAGGAAGCCAAACTCAAACATGGAATCAGAGCTCTGCATGAGGAAGCCAAACTCCGACAAGGAATCAGAGCTCTGCATGAGGAAGCCAAACTCAAACATGGAATCAGAGCTCTGCATGAGGAAGCCAAACTCAAACATGGAATCAGAGCTCTGCATGAGGAAGCCAAACTCAAACATTGGATCAGAGCTCTGCACGAGGAAGCCAAACTCAAACAAGGAATCAGAGCTCTGCATGAGGAAGCCAAACTCAAATCAGAGCTCTGCATGAGGAAGCCAAACTCAAACAAGGAACCAGAGCTCTGCATGAGGAAGACAAACTCAAACAAGGAATCAGAGCTCTGCATGAGGAAGCCAAACTCAAACAAGGAATCAGAGCTCTGCATGAGGAAGCCAAACTCAAACATGGAATCAGAGCTCTGCATGAGGAAGCCAAACTCAAACATGGAATCAGAGCTCTGCATGAGGAAGCCAAACTCAAACATGGGATCAGAGCTCTGCACGAGAAAGCCAAACTCAAACAAGGAATCAGAGCTCTGCATGAGGAAGCCAAACTCAAATCAGAGCTCTGCATGAGGAAGCCAAACTCAAACAAGGAACCAGAGCTCTGCATGAGAAAGACAAACTCAAACAAGCAATCAGAGCTCGGCATGAGGAAGCCAAACTCAAACATGGAATCAGAGCTCTGTATGAGGAAGCCAAACTCAAACATGGAATCAGAGCTCTGCATGAGGAAGCCAAACTCAAACGTGGAATCAGAGCTCTGCATGAGGAAGCCAAACTCAAACAAGGAATCAGAGCTCTGCATGAGGAAGCCAAACTCAAACAAGGAATTAGAGCTCTGTATGAGGAAACCAAATTCAAACATGGGATCAGAGCTCTGTATGAGGAAGCCAAACTCAAACATGGGATCAGAGCTCTGCACGAGGAAGCCAAACTCAAACAAGGAACCAGAGCTCTGTATGAGGAAGCCAAACTCAAACATAGGACCAGAGCTCTGTATGAGGAAGCCAAACTCAAACATGGGATCAGAGCTCTGTATGAGGAAGCCAAACTCAAACATGGGATCAGAGCTCTGTATGAGGAAGCCAAACTCAAACATGGGATCAGAGCTCTGCACGAGAAAGCCAAACTCAAACAAGGAAGCAGAGCTCTGCATGAGGAAGCCAAACTCAAACAAGGAATCAGAGCTCTGCATGAGGAAGCCAAACTCAAACATGGAATCAGAGCTCTGCATGAGGAAGCCAAACTCAAACATGGAATCA